AAAACGAAAAGTTTTCTCTTTATTATCTCTTCCAGTGAAATTTTCTTCATTGCTGTTTTTGTCATCACGTTAAGTTTCAACTTTCAACTTTCAGCTGTACAAAGCCTCTGACTGGCTTTTTCTACTTAAAATTTTTGACTGCAAAGAGATTAATTTGAAATGCTTTCTCCAAGAGGAAAATGCCTATCAGTTGAATTAGTGGTCAGTTACGTATCCGCTGTCATCGATTTATCTACAGGTTACGGTTATGAAATCTACAAAGATAGAGCAAAAAGCGATGGATGGTAATCATCTTAAAAGGTTATTATTTCTCAGCTATGCACTGTTAAATCTATTTCAGAAATTTACGTACAAAAGTATCCTAAATATTTTCGTTTTTATTGTGATTGAAGTTTTTTTTGTGGAATTCACACAACCATCTGAAATTTTTATTGTGATTTAAGTTTTTCTGTGGAATTCACACAACCATCTGAGATCGCTTCTTCACTTCCACGTGGCTCATTAACTATTGTTCCCTGTACAAAAGAGAATCTGGATACTTTTGTACTGATGCCCACTCCAGCTCAAAGAGGCATAGCAAAAGGACAATTGCGAAGTATGAAAATTGAATCTAAAGGTAGTTTTTTGTTTTTGGAATACTTAGTCTTTTTTTTATTATTGATAAAACATTTCACGAGTTTAGTGTGCAGATACTGATAGGACCCGACAGGGACATCCTGTTTTAATTTAGAACAGGAATTGCTGGAAGTAAAATACCACAAAACTCTGTAGGATGAGGGTCAACTAGAATAAGTGATTCGAATCTCTGACAATCATACTGCTGGAACCTTGAGTCTTCCGCTCGAAATCGTCACAAGTTCCCTTTCCTATAAGTGCTTAGAAGTACTAGTATTCGTATATTCCTTGAGCGCTTCTATATTCAATGTAGTAGAAAAGATGAGTAACGTACTTTATCATTCTCTAACATGTTTTGAGAATTTTTTTTACAAATGTAACAAAATAAATTCTGTCGGAGATCTATATATATATGAATAAAAATGGTCGTAAAGGTAAGATAAAATGTAATTCATAAAGTTATCAGACTCAGATATAAAGCATAATATATATAGGTTGCATACTGTAGTTTCAAAGGTGGGTGGAATTTCTCTGGTACCTGACATTCTGCTGAAGACTACAAGGATCCTTTTAAAGTGTGAAATTGATATTAAAAAGTGTGGCTGGGCTTCGGGAATGACATTATAGCAGTGTTAAAAAAAAAAAACTTTTAGTGAGGGTGTAATTCACGATTTCAGAAGCAAGCGAAGTGGAAAAGCCACATGAAACAGTCCAAGAATCAGGACCTAAGGTTGTAAGTCCTTTATTGATTGTAGGCAATGATTGTCTTTTGTTTGGTATTTTCCAACATTAGAGAGAATCGAGCTTTGTTATTCGTTCTTCAGAAAGATTATAAGGAATTGAACGAAGCAGACGTTGTTGATGTTTCTACAATGTCAAACAGATTATCGAATAATGGTGAAATAGAATTAAGAAGTCCAATTAAGAAGCTTTTTAAACGGAACGATGAGAGCATGGACAGGTTAGCCCGATGAAAATGAGCAGATTGTATTGTAATCTTACACTGGTGTAGTTTTTCAAATCGGTCACTTTTTTCATTTCAGGGTTTTAAATCAAATGGACTTCGAGAAGAAGTTTGCCAACTTGCCAGCATTCACCCCTGATGATCCACAGAAAGGTTTGTGTTTTCCTATAATTTAGTAGGTTTTCTTCAAGAATATGCCTTTTATTTTGGTGGTAGTAGAAGTAATTTGAATACTGTAAAATGTTCTTCAGGCACAGCAACACTTCCTTCAACACCTTCAGCTCTCTTGAAGACAATTTTAGAGAAGCAGAAATGTAGCAGAGATGATAGAAAAGAAGAACCTCTGAACATTCCTCACGCTGCACAGTCAAGACCAAGAACTCCAGGTTGTTGTTTAAAATACAAGTAGATTTGCTCCTGTAAATGTTTTGGATCTTTTTTTGAGTAACAAATATGTGAAACTATGAACGAAAGTAAAATGAAAATGTGACCATCATATAAGAAAGAATTGGAATCAAGAGAGAAAATTATTAAATATTCATTGGATCGTAAAGATACATTTTGAAATTTATAATTTATTTTTTAGCAATTGCGTCTGCTCGATATGACTCTTCGCTCTTCTTTGGATCGAATTTCAATTCAGTGGCACTTCACGATAATGTAACAAAGCTTTTCATATTAGATGCTCCCTAAAGTCTTTTTTTTCGAAAGAGAAACTACTAGAATCATAGAAAAGTGCAAACTTTTGCGGATCACCAGGGGTGACTGCTGGCAAGTTGGCAAACTTCTCGAACTCCATTTGCATTAACACCTTAAAATGACAAAAGTGACCAGTTTGAAAACTATGTCACTGGTAAGATTACAATACAGTCTGCTCGTTCTCTTTTCCATTGGGTTAACTTCTCCATCCTCTTATCGTTCCGTAGATCATTGCATCCCAAATCAAAACTAAATCCAAATCATATTTTTATAGCTCATATGGTTTCCTTATTTTGAGAAATATGAAATAACACCCTGCATCTCAGATTATATCGTCTTTTATCTGTTAATAATTTGGTACCACTAATAAAAATCCTTTGCACAATTCTAAGTGTGTTCAAATAGTTTGATTCAGTTAAAATTAACTATTTTTAGGATGGCAGTGTTTCTGCATTAGCGCTCCGCAGTCCTCGAACACCAAAAACGCCGCTTGATAGCTCAGCTGAAAAATCAGCAAGTCGCAAATTACTTGATTACCGGCGACAATTAGTGGTTGAACTTCTTGAAGAATATGGAATGTTTCCTTCAGGTTGGTTTCTGTAAGTAGTTACTCCTATTAAAAATTATTACGAGATTTTATCTACATTTATTCGATATGATTTAAGGGCAAGCTATTTCGGCTTTCCAAAACAAATATCGGCAGTTTTTTCCCAGCAAACAAACTCTAACACTTAAAATTCGTGAAATGCGGCAAAAAATGATGGCAAGCATACAGTCTCCTGTAGAACCGTCGTCAGGTAATTTTTATTTTCTTATCAAAATAATCAGTTGCTTAAAGGAGGGAAGATCGTTTGGAACAGCAAACAGTTTCTCAAGTGTTTTGTTGTGTATGTCTTGTAATTAGAAGCATTGACCATGATGAGAAATGACGAGACCAATCATTAAAACTTGGCATTCAACTACTTTTTGTAGATTGCTCATTTCCTCAGAAACGAAACAACTTGTTCGTAAGGCAGTCTGTTTGTACATCGTCAGGTGAACATTGTTGTAAGTAATTATTTCAATAAAGAGTATTTATAAAGTCAGTAATATCTTCAGAAAATGGAAAAAGTCAGGAGTGTTCAGATATATTAGACTCGAATGGGTTAACATCATGTATTAAGACACAAATGTCTTTATCTTATAAATTGAGTTTATGTTAGCCAGTTCGAGTACGAATCATTGGTACCAATACAGTACATACCGGCGAACGCTAATATGAATGCTATACAAACGCAAATGGAAGTGAGGGGATAATTCAAAAGCAGTGTGGATTTTGTCATTGTTCAGGATCATTTCGATCAGATTCAAGATTCATTTTAAATGGCATTTTCGTCTAGCAGTGTATTGCAACTTCAGGGAATTGGTTGCTTATTAGTTAAATTTTAGTTTTGATTTTCAAGTTTAGCGTTTGTATATAGTGCAAAATTTGGCAAGGATTTCTGCTACAAGTCTTAGACTAAAATAGATGAATTTTAATGAGTTCGAAAGTTCAAAAACGGTTTTTATTTATATGTGACAGCTTTTTTCAGTGTTTTCTGCACGAACAAGTTACCAAATCAACTATAAAAATATGAAAACTTTAATTGCACTAAATCAAAATTGTGATATGTTGGAAATTTGTGATCATCTGATGAAGTACATCTTTCGTTGTCATGCTGTTGCATATTGGATACGCCATATATGAACCCCTCGAAAGAAGCTATGGCACTAGCCGTAGAAAGCATTTTAGCCACTCTGATGTCGGTTTTTTTTAAACTGTCGGCATTCGTCAAGCAAAATTTGTTTTTTTGGACTTATCTGAAGTTCTTGGATTTTCTCTTTTTATGCTTCAGCACCACTCAGTTGCTGTTACTACTCTGTGTGTCTTTTTTCACAGGATCAGATTAAATGATTTGTGACATGTGAAATGGTTGAATGTTCTCGAAAACGTGCATTGTTTCTCAAATTTCTTTGGCGTGTCCGCTATCCTTTAATGCCAGTTTACGCCCTTTGGCCTTCCTATCCTTGTATGCTCTCTGCTTCTCTTGAAAATGTTTATAACGCTTGTTTTTCATTTCACTGTGAAGGGCATAAATTACTTTTGCTTTCTCCACTATCAGGTAGTTTTCCCATTTTAAATGCAAATATTTACTTTTGTAATTATTAGTGGTCAAGAAAAGCAATCTTTCTGGATTGAGAAATCTGATTTCTCGCATTGCTTTTTTATTGGTACTGGACAGAAACTATGTCTTTGTCTTTATTTGCCGGGTTTCAACAATGTTCAGCAGCCTCATTTGACAGTTTATAGCGCCCTAAAGTTGTACATAGTCTACTTATCAGGATCTGCGCATGTGATACACTAATCAAATTTCAGTAGCTCTTTCTGCTCTTGAACCGTTAATAATTATCTGTCATTCTGTTAACGCGAAATTACAGTTTGAATGAATTAGTTTTCCATAAAAAGACCTTCCATTTTTTTGAATTAACATTTAATCTATCTTTACTAAGCTGCCTGTTTTTTCCATGCCTCATCCTCCGACTCCTCATTTTTAACATTCGCAGTTCATATCACTAAGAAAGAAAGAGGAAGAGAATATTCTTTTATTAGTTGCAGTGCATGCGTTTAAAGATTACTTCATGAAAGCGTGCTATTTTTTAAACGTTCGAATAACGTTAAACTGTTTTATTCTTGTTTGATAAGATTTTATAGCGTTTTTGGAAACGGGATTATCCTATATGATCTAAATTAAGCTGGTTATTATTGCTATAGTCACTCTTGTATCGCATGTGTTTTTGTAATCTTCATGGAATGTCATTATTTTTTTATAACTAGGGCGGGTATCAGATGACTGGACGACATTTATGAAAAGGAGAAAAAGACAAATCTATTAAATCTTCATCCAATTCTAATTGCTGATCCATTTGTTTACTCCGTCCAATGAATGCTAATTAGTGTAGGCTGAACATAAAACGAGGTGGGAGGGGGAAGCAAGTGCTGCATTACATTTGCACATTCAGTCTGCATCGTACAGACCAATCAATAGGGCCACTCAGAGCAGGATAATAATACAATGCAAAGTTGAAGAATCACAACTATTTGCTGCGGTGGAAGTATAAATTCAATGCCCATTCAGGTTTGTCTCGTCGAAATTTCGTACATGTATGGTTTACAATTCTGTGCTTCAATCTTGTTAATCTATAGTGTGCCAGCTGATAATAAATGAAATAATGTTCATATTGTTAATTTAAGATGTCTTGCTTAAATCTTTGTTCAAGACATCAGTGATTATCTAGTCAGTTCGTTTCTTAGCGATGTCTGAAATACATTTGGTTTGAATTGATGCAGCCAGCTGAGAGAACTGGTGAGTGATGACACTAATTGCTTAATCTGTAGAATAGGTGGGAAAGGGATACTAAAGCTTTAATTTTGTACGAGAAAGAATTGAATAGTTTAAATACACAGGGAAAGAGGACAGGATACACACGTGAACTGTCATCAGCGCATAATATATTTGTTTAATCGGGTCATTCGTCTGTTCTATGTTATTGGCTTTTCTATTCCAAATACTGCGTTTTTAATACGCTTCACTATTATGTGGTACTCTTTCGTAAACTTAGAGGTGTAGCTAGTTTTCAGTTCTTTCGATGGATCTTAATGCTTATTGGATTCTTTTTTTTCAAGTTGTTAGCTTCATATACGTAGTGTGAGTTGTGGTAATACGTACATTAGTTACCTATTGTCATTATTTGTCATTATTCGAAGGAATAAGTAGTCTCATATATCGGCGACATGTTGACGTTAGCCGATTTTTTTCAATCCATTCTCATCTTGTCAGCTGTATGCTGTATAAATATTTTTTATTTTCACTCATTCACGCGTCTCCTTTTCAACGTTTTTATGTTGTATTTTTGACTAAGCAGAAAGAAGGGAATGTACAAAAAG